TCACACCAGGCCCAAGTGCTGGGAAAAGTCCCCATAACTTTGGGCTGTAAAACCTGTGGAGATTGTGGCTGAGTGGCACAGAGGCTGCAAGAGTCCCAGGCAGCTTCTCTTAAAGGGCTTACTCATGGACTTACTCGGACTTGCTTCCTCTGAGCTCCAGCCCCAGGATAGCAGCTTGACAGGAACCTGGGACATTCAGGGAGGAACTAACTTATCTGGGCAAAAGCTAGAGGAGCAGCTTTTTCCCACAGAAGTGCTGGCAGAGGTCAGTGTTCATTTGCTGAGCCCTCTCAGCCACAGAGCTGACAGACTGCATCATATTGAATCTCCATCAGCCTGGCTCACACTTTTTGCACTCCCCCCTCCCACAGTGATTCCCTGAGACTCTACCCCACCCTACTTGCAGGCTCATCCAAGCCACTTCCAGGTGCTTTTCCATATACCCAGCCTCTCTTGCCTCATGCTTTGGACTTTGCTAAAATCTCCCAAATAAGCAGCTGGAATCAGCACTCCTCATAAATCTCAATAAGTGGCCCTAGGCCTGGCACTAGTTCACCGCTTGGCCTCTCCTGGGCACTTCTAAGCTCAACACAAGTAGCAGCCATTGCATATTGCTTTGTAGCTCATGCTGGGTGCCCCTGGGTAGGGCACAGGCAGAGGCTGACATTGCACCTCCTGAGAGGCCCCAGAAGCAGTGCACTTGGTGATCAACTTCGACCATGCCAGATGGAGAAAGATAAATATCAGAGGATCTCACTCACCCCCAGCCACTATATATGCAAATTAACCTTCCATCTTTGTTGGGTTAATTTGCATATTCATTCCTGATTGGCTGGTGGATGTTGCAAAGGTACAGTCAATTTGCATCTTTCTCTTTTATTAGTGTAGATATGCATTACCTATGGACACAGACAATAGGGTGTTGAAGGCCTGGGAAGGGGCAGGAACTGGATGGAGAGGATAATGAGAAAAAAAGGGGGATAGCTGTAATACTCTCAACAGTGAAAGATTTAAAAAAAAAAGACTATCAGTCCCACATTTCTACTTCCATTCATATAATGATCATTACATATTTATGCCTGTTTTGTGTGGCACCTTATAATCTTCCCAGAATTCCTAGGTTACATGAGTTCTATTATTCTGTGTAACTATATTGTTACCAAACTCAAGGTGTTCACCACTTGGGGTGTTCTATTCATGAATTAGATGTGGTTGTTGCAAGGTAATTTTATTTAACTTGCTGCAAGGAAAGGAGACAGGAGATTCATATCCAAAGCTCCCCCTGAAGGGAGGCTTAACCATTGCTTATATACATTATTTTGTTGATTTCTTCTTTGCAGTTGGCTAAATTTATTCTGTCAGGCTCATCCTGTTTCCAGCTGCATCTGCAAAATACCGTGCTACATTTTTACATTTAGGAAGAATAATATTTAGTCATAACATTTAGAATTGCCCAGACCTTGAAATGTTGGTCCTATCTAACAATATCAAGAGAATGGTATTTTGAAAGGATTACCAGAATTGCACATAATTGCTGGTTGTATCACTATGGGAAACCACATGTAAAGTATCAACAACGTGATCACTATAAGCAAATTCTGACTCAAATTATTGCAAAACATTACTAGATTTGGGTGAGGTTTCTAGAGGAAGGGTGCAGCCAGTTAGTCAAGCAACAACATTTACTGAGAACCTACTGTATATAGATTATTAATAATAATAATCTATATACAGTAGGTTCTGTATATACTGTCTCCTTTCCTTGCAACAACTTAAATAAAATTACCTTGCAAGAACCACATCTAGTTCGTGAATAGAGCACCCCAAGTGGTGAACACCTTGAGTTTGGTAACAATATAGTTACACAGAATAATAGAACTCATGTAACCTAGGAATTCTGGGAAGATTATAAGGTGCCACACAAAACAGACATAAATATGTAATGATCATTATATGAATGGAAGTAGAAATGTGGGACTGATAGTCTTTTTTTAAGGCTGCTGAGGAAACAGAAACCAAAAAGTAGAAGAAAAAAAGAAGAAAGGAAATGCTGTTGATGCAGCATGTTATGGTGAATAGAAATGATGGTTTCAGTTGGTGGAGAGAGCCTAGAATTTAGAGAGAAACAAAGATCTCAAAGTGGAAAGAACATAGGATATAGAGTTAGATGCTGGGGTTCCAATTCCAATTCAGTCACTTTGGCGCTAAGCAGCCTTGGACAGATATTTAGTCTTCATTTTGTCTCCTGTAAAATGTGTATAATAACACAGATAAGTCCTTCATGAGGTTGCAATGAGAGCAATGAAACAATGACTTGAAAACTGTAAAAGGGCAGAGTGAAGCCTTAACAGGAGCAGAGCCTAACAGGAGCCATCTTGGGAGCAAGGAGTCTTCGGTTTGCTGAAGAGCCCTCCCCTCTGCCTTCAGCCTATCATCATCCTCACCTTTTGTAGACTGTCAACAACATCGGCAGGAGTTATTTAAGAGAATATGCTGTAGTTCAAGAAAGGATCTCAGAACATCAAGTTGCAGACTGTTTTAAAGACCATAGGTGGGGCAACTTTGGCTAAGGAGGCTTACTGAAGAGATGTCTGGCATTTTTTTTTTTTTTTTTTTTTTTTTTTTTATTAAAAGAAACATGGAGGCAGGGGTGGAAGGAAGATGTCTGTTAAAAGATAATCCATTTTTTTTTATCCACACAAGGGTTGCATTTGCGATTAAAGTAAACGTCTAGTATCTAGGAAAGAAAATATACTAAGTGCACAGAAAATGAAGGACCAAAGGGTAAACAGCAGTGAAGCTTAGCCATTGTTCTCTTGAGGACTTCTGCCTGGAGCTTGCTCCTTCTTTTAAGGTAAGTTGTAGGGTTCTACTTTTCATTCTTGAACACTTCAGCTAATGCAGAGCACCCTGCTTTGAAAAGGTCCTCCCCTTCCTTGAAGTGAACTGTGTGTGAGAACTGAACTGTGCAGAGTCAGCATGGACTCTTCACAATAGCTACTTAAGGGATTGAAGGCTCAGATCAAGTTCTTGCTTTTATTTGGAAAGGAAAACATACTATTTCTTGGTTTTAAGGATGTCAGATACAAAACTGTCTACCTTTGAGGCTTCTGACACCTCCCCAGAAACAGCTTCCTTCCAACACCCAGTCCTGTGTGATGAGACTTCATGAGGGCCTAGTCACACTGGAAGTTTGGTGTTTGTTCTCTCTTGAAAATAAAATAGATGCTGTTTTTAATGTGGAAAAAAAAACAAAACTAAAAAACCAGGACCAGTGCTTTTTCCTGCAAGTTTTCCCTTCCTGCTCTCTGCTCTAATGGACTATAAGCTCTTCAAAAGCATGTTTTCTGTTCACTTTCCATTTGCAAGCAACAATGATTCACACTCCATGAACATCTAGCACATTACTTAATAATAGTGCATGTGAAGTTATTTAAACCCTCACATGTGTTATTTACATGTAGCTGTCAGATTCATTTTGTAGACATATTTCTTTTTATTTACTTATTTTTTATTTTTTGTTAATCCTCACCCAAGGATATTTTTCTATTGATTTTTCGAGAGAGTGGAAAAAATGGAAAGAGATGCAGAGAGAGAAACTACGATGCGAAAGAGACACATCAATTGGTCATCTCCTGCCTAAGCCCCAACCACAGCCTACAACCAAGGTACATGCTCTGACCAGGGCTCTTCAGTCATGGGCCAATGCTCTATCCACTGAGCCAAATATGCTAGGACTGTAGACATATTTCTGATGATGGCATATCACTGCTCAAAAGTTTAGTAGAAAAGTCAATTCTCTACTAAACAAAGTATTTTTAAAATATATACCTATCCATCTCCATTGACATATAACATTGCATTATTTTTAGTTTACAACTTGCTACGCAATATGTGGTGTTCAGACCAATCACCTGGTAGTTTGCTATAAATGCAGATTCTCCAGGCCCATTCTAGACCTACTCAGTCAGCAAGAATCCTAGCCAAGTCATACAAGTATAGACAGTTTGACTGCATCATAGCTCTCTTGCTAAACTTGAAGCTTCAGAAATAGGGTTGCCAGATTTAGCAAATAAAAATGGCAGATGCCCAGTACAATTGGAAAACAATGGATGATTTTTTTAGTGTAAATATATCTCAAATGCTTCATGGGATATAATTAGGCTTAAAATATATATTCATTGTTTGTGTGAAATTCAAATTTTACAAGGCTCTCTGTATTTAACCTGGCAACCCTATTTAGAAGAATAGGATCTATGTCTAACATAACTTTGTGTTCCCCTGCCATAGTACAGTGCCTTCCCCAACTGTTAAATATATGTTTGGAAACAGGTTTCTCTGGTTTTTGCTTAACGTTGTATATCCCCAGAGACTAACACATTATCTGGCACACAAAAAGGGTCCAATAAATATTTCTTTAATGATAGGCAGGATGAACGGTGATGGGGGGATAAAAAGAAACTAAAGATAATTATTTCTTCAATGAGTAAATGAATCTATCTAGAGCAATCTTCTATGGACTGGGTCGTGTGTGCATTGTAATGAAAGCTGATTATTTTTCTAGTGTTTTAAAAAAACAACAACAATGTTTAATAAGCTTCTATTCGTACACTTTTTCAGGCTGGCAGAGGTCAGGGCTTAATGAGAACATAAGTAACGGCTCAGAATGTTCTTGTCGCGGACTGTGTCCATATGCTCCACAGTGGGAAAGCATCCCATCCTCAGGATGCCCATAGCCCGCAGCAGGCGCTCTGGCAACTCCTCCCCAGCCCTGGCCCCGGCCCCGCCCCCCGCGCCCCGCGAGGGCTCCGCGCATGCGCACAGAGGCATTCGGCCTCGGGGAGGCGGGGCTTCCGGGGCGCGTGCGCAGCGGCCTGGGCGGCGGGCCCCTCCCTTGGCGGGGGCGCGCGGCGCGGAGGACCGCACAGAGAGGGGAAGTCAGGTGGCCGCCGCCGCCGCCGCCGCCGCCTCCGCCGCCTCGGTTCGCAGCCAGCAGGAAAATGGCGGATCTGGAGGAGCAGTTGTCTGATGAGGAGAAGGTAAGAGCTGTGCGGGCGGCGGAGCCCGCCGCACCCGGAGCCCGCGGAGCCCGGCCCGTCAGCCGGGAGCCGGGCCGCCGGGGGAGGCATCGCCGTGCCCGCGCCGCCCTGCCTCCCTCCCTCCCCCCGCCCAGTGCCTGCCCCTGTCAGTCACCCCGGCCTCGGGGCAGGTCCCCGCCGGCCCGCTGCCCCGCTCCTTATAGGGCGTGTGCTCCGAGGACGGGGCGGCGGCGCGGGCCTGGCCCCCGGCGGGGCCGCGCCGTGGGCGGAGGGCAGCGGGGGCGCCGCGGGTGTGGGCGCCGGCGGAGGGGGGGGCCAGGGCAGTGCCGGCCACGGCCTGGCCCGCTGTGGCCGGGGTTCGGGGGAGCCGCGTAGGAAGCACATCTCCACGGGGCCGACCGAACCCCGCCTTCCAGGAGCCGAGTGCTTCCTCCCCCTACGGAGCCCGACGCCTTCCCCTTCCCGCGGCAGCCTCCTCTCTCTCTTCCCTCCCCCGTCTTTTTTTTTTTTTTTTTTTTGGTCTTTTTTCGTCTTTAGCCGGAGGCTGTGCCTCCCGCGTTCAGCGGGCATTGCCACCAGAAATGGGGGCCCCCCAGGGGTGCCTCCCGCCCAGGTCGCAGCGGCCCCCGGGGGCCGGTTTGCTGGCGCCCCTCCGTCCTGCCCGGAATTCCCCCCGAAGCGGGGGCTGTGCAGCGCCTTTCACTGTATCCGAAACGCGTGACAGACAGCCTGGGAGCCGGAGGCCGGCGCCTTCTCAGGCGGCGGAAGCGGGAAGCCTGGTTCTCGGACCGGTTCTCCCTCCGGTTCCCCGGCGCCGGCTGGAGCTGCTGATCCTGAGCGGCCTCCTGAAGGGACCTTGGTGTGTGTCCCAGGCCCAGGAGGAACTGACACGTTCACGGCGGTTTCCGCTTTCCGTGTCCGCTCCTCGTTGAACAGTGTTTATTTTTTCTGCGTTCCAAAGCTGTGCAGCCGCGTAGGAATCAGGAAACACAAACTCACCGTGGCGTTTTAGAAAGTCCTAACGTAAGCCTAAGGGTACTTTCCGTTGAAATTTTCATCTCCAACTATTTTTTTTAACATATTTTATTGATTTTTTTACAGAGAGGAAGGGAGAGAGATAGAGAGCCAGAAACATCCATGAGAGAGAAACATCGATCGGCTGCCTCCTGCACACCCCCCACAGGGGATGTGCCCGCAACCAAGGTACATGCCCTTGACCGGAATCGAACCCGTGACCTTTCAGTCCCCAGGTCCAGGCTCTATCCACTGAACCAAACCGGTTTCGGCTCCCAACTATTTTTATATCCTGTGTTCTTGTATCAAAGTGTAATGTCCCATCTCCTTCCTCATGTCAGTGTGCACATCAGCCTCATCTTCAGTTTTGGAAATCTCTTTCCTCTGGGCTTTTTGGTAAAAGTGATAAACAAAATGGGGACAGCAGCAAGATTCTCCACAACCCGGAGACCTGGTAGGCAGAGAGGTAGGTCCCTTCATACAGAGAGTTGCTGTGCAGTTTTCCCATGTTAACAGTGGTAACTGTAAGCTGGCAACTGACACTGTGGGCTCCTTCGCACACACATTTAAAATTAAGTAAAAGTTTGTTAAAGAGATTATCATGTTTTTAGTCCACGTTTCCTCGGTGGTGTTTAGTAATTAAAGTGGCAGGAAATCTAGCTGAGGAGAGTACTCAGTGTGGGAGTTAATACAGACCTGACATGTGTTGGAAAATCCTAAAATAGCCAAGCTTTTTCAAAGTTATATGACAAGATTCCTTATTATCAGGCACTCTCAGGGCACATCCATAAAGGACGTGGGGTGTGTCTTATTCTCTAAACTTGTTCAACACAATGTTGTAAGAGTGAATGAATGACTGGAGGGTTGGATGGGGGGGGCAAAGGAAGGAGGGGAAATGGGAGATAATCTGTAATACTGTAACAATAAAAAATATATTTTAAAAAAGTAAGAACAATCACTAAAAAAAGTAAGTGAAGGAAAATCCTAATTTGAAGGGTTTTGGTGTTTCTGGGATTTTTGTTTTTTATATGTATTTTAGGTTTTTTTTTCAAGAAAAACGATTTTAAATATAATGTTACATGCAGTAAACCTTAATATTTCAAGAAAAACTAAAATATAATGTTACATGTAATAAACATTAATATCTCAATAAAACTGATTTTAAATATAATAATATTACATGCAATAAACATCAATTATTTAAGAAAGATGGTCATTCTCTATGTGGTCTCTACCTTCGGTCCTTGAGTATCAGGGTTCTTGCCTGTGAGTTTCTGTTGATTATTCAGGAAGTCTTTCCATATTTTAGTTGTAATTCCAGCTTGTTCCTCATTTTTTGTTTCTGGTTTTGTAAGACTATTTTATACTTATTTTACATGTGGATTTCATTGCTGTATTTAGCAATTTAAGGAAAACACTGACCAGACTTGTGAATTAAATTCACATAACTGATTAAGTGAAATTCTTACACTCTAGACATTTTAGTATGGAATCATAAATAGAATTTAAAGGTGAAATTTTTTAAATTAATATTTAAATCATGTTACTTTTTTGCCACCTTTTTTGTAATTTTCAAAAATATGCTTTTAATACTTTTAAACTCTTGGAATTCCATTTTTGATTACAGATCCAAGGAAGCGGAGTTGTTAAGACTTATGTAGTACCACTGGAGGCCGAGTGCACAAAAATGCATGCATGCGTATGGTCCCCAGGCCTGGCCTGTGATCAGGACTACCTTCCCTGCCTGCTGGCAGCCAGCCCCACCCCCGCCGCCACCCACCCCCAGTTCCCCATTCACCATCGCATCCTGCCAGCCGGCAGGAAGGGACTGAGAGGTTGGTCGGCAGGTCCTGATCGGGAAATTGGGGCCTGCGGGCTGGGGTAGCTCCTGTGTTGAGCATCTGCCCCCTGGTGGTCAGTGTTCGCATAGCATCTGGTCGTTCTGCTGTTTGGTCTATTTGCATATTACCCTCTTATTATATATTAGGTCTAGTAATATATATTATTATATATTAGACTATATCGATAGGACTAGTGGCCTGGTGCACAAAATCCGTACACATTAAAAGAAGGACCCAGAGTCACCTCGCCCACCCATATGCGCCTCAAAATCGAGTGAGACCCAGACACGTCCAGTCCTGCCCTTGTCAAGCCCTGCTGGGCAGGGGGCATAGCCTCAGATCCCCCTGACCCAGTGCCAGGATGAGGGGTGTGGCCTGAGGTCCCTCAGATGGGATGGGGGGGGTTGTCTTGAGGTCCCCTAGCCCAGCACCAGGATGGGAAGTGCACCTTGAAGTCCCCCATCAAGCCCTGCCGGGTGGAGTCACAGACTGAGGTCCCCCTGCCCTGGTGCCAAGGCAGGAGGTGCAGCCTGAGGTCCCCTGTCAATCCCTGCTGGGTGGGGGCGTGGCCTGAGGTCCCCTGTCAAGCACCATGGGGCAATGGAGGGTGTAGCCTCATGTTCCTGTTGATTGCTCTTTAAGGCTCCTTAAGGGAACTTGGCCTCAGCTGTGGGTGCAGCCATCTTTGTGATGGAGTGATGGTAAATTAGCATATTCCCTCTATTAGATAGGATAATTGGTATATGCCTTGCTCGGTTAAACAATACGTTCATTAATTTGTTGTAAGGTTGAGGCATTTTATTACCATTTCACAAATAAGTAATATAAGGTTTCAAAGGCTTTAAGTAATTTACCCAAGAACATTTAAGAAGAAAGTGGCAAAGGTGTTATTTAATTCTGAATTTGTCTGAATCGAAAGTTGATGCTCTTGTGGCATTATGCTCCCTTTAACATTTGATGATAGGGACTCTCTTCTGGGTTTACCTCTTTGTTTTTAATTTGTTGACAGGTTATTATGAAAAAGGACAAACAATAGTTGTTAACAAAAATTATAAATACTAAACATTAAATACTGTTGGATTATATATTTTGTGTCTTAATCATTTTAGGACAAAGTTTATTTAACACATTTAAAAGTTTTATATTACTGATATAGTTTCACAGGTGCTCTATGGTAGGAAGCATTTTAGAAATCTAGAATTAAATCTTAGTTTGTTAAAATTATGTAAAATTGTGTTTAGAGGACACCTCTATGAAATTAAATAACTGTATAAGTTATCTGAAGAAGCATAGTAATGTTCTTTAAAGTTGTTCATTTGCATTAGTGTGTCTACAAACTTTTTTGCATAGACTTTTCTTTCTTAAGTCAGAAATGGTTATGTTTGTCATTCCTAGGTAAAGTGTATTGTACAGTTAAGCATTTTTGTGAATTTGAAATTATAAGAAATTATGGCACAAGTAAGAAGAACCATTCCCAGATTTCTCTCCAGATGAGAAAATCTAGGAAATCACTCTAAGCTCCAGAAGAAAGACAGTTATTGTTTGAATCTGATCTTTTTTTTTTTTTTTTCTTTAACCCTCCCACCTTCCTGTAATGATTAGTGATGGATCCACTACCACAGCTTCAACTTTTATATCTTTTGTTGCTGTGTCTCAAGTACCTAACTCGGCCTTATACTGCTCTCCTGAGCACCAGTCACACATTTTTATCTGCTATTCCTGTTCACAGGAGACAGTTAATGAGATGTGTTTAAATGGAACCTGCCTGAAAGTAAATTCATAAACTCCCCTCTCCTTTCCCTCTACTAGGTGTACTGGTTAATAATTCGGATTTTTTTTCAATAGATGGAATTACACATATGTTAATATATATGCAATTTGATGTGTATGCTAGTTTGTTGTATTGACAACAAGCTTCAAAACTTCATATGTCAAATTTGCTGAAAGCGTTAACATCATAGATATTTTTACACTTAAAAATGTCGAATTTCGTGCCAAAAAAGGAGCATTTGCAGGAAGTTTTAATTCATTACTTTATTTTGAAGAAAAGTGCTGCTGAATACTTTGGGAAGCTTATGGTGAACATTTTCCATCTCAAGATACTTGTGAACGTTGTCTTAAACGCTTTAAAAGTGATGATTTCGA